CCTGCTGTTGCTGCTGCTGCTGCTGTTGGAGCTGCTGCTGCATCTGTTGCTGCTGCGCCCTCAGCTGTTGCTGCACCTGGAACTGCTGCTGCTGCTGCTGCTGGATGGCGTTCTGCTGCTGCTGCTGCTGTTGGATGGCGTTCTGCTGCTGCTGCATGGCGTTCTGCTGCTGTTGTTGGAACTGCTGGAACTGCATGGCGTTCTGCTGCTGCTGTTGCTGCTGCTGCACCAACTGCTGCATGGGCATAGGTCCCGGTCCGCCGACTGCAGGGGGAGAGAGGGGGGCAGATGAAGCAGCGGGCCGGCGTCCGAGGCCAGCTCTGGACTCTCAGACACACACCGTGCTAAAGCAGAGACTGAAAATCAGGCCGGCTCTGACGCCGAAACGTGGCATGTAGACGCAGCCAGCCTCCACCCAACACGCGGAAGATGTGCATTTACAGCAAACACCACATGGAGGAAACACTCACTGGCTTGTGGGTTTCCAGCCACCCCTGCCATGGCATGCTGGCCTATCTGCATCGGCCCCATGGCCCCCATGCCACCCACTGGAGCACCGGCAGGGCGAGGCCCCATGCCAATGGCGCCAGGACCCCCTCCAACCCCTGTCAGGGTATTCAGGGCATTCATGGGATCTAGCAGAAGGGTAGACAACAGACCATATTAAGCAGCTCCAACATGCACAGCAGAAATCATGAACGCCATGAGTCCGGTACAGACCGGTCCAGCAGAGGACAGAACACAGCAAAGAAAACAAACGGGGAGGGGGGGGGAGACCAGAGAGACACGAAGCCCACCTACCTGAACCTCCAAGAGCCTTCTTATCTGCAGAGAGGACACAGTCGTCAATACCTCTGATCAATGATCCACAACAGGGCTGAGCAGCAGATCCACTCAGCACAAACAACTCATTTACATGAATGTGGAGACAAGCTCCGCCCCCTCTCTGAATAAAAAGCAGACATTTACATGCTGCTGTACGAGTGATGTCACGCAAAGTCACGTTTGCTGATTTGAAAAAGCGTCTGTGCCCACAGGAACGAGACTTCCTGCTCACTCTGTTTTTGTAAAGACTCACTTCCTGTCTGCCGGCAGGTAAATCAGCGAGCGTGTGTTCTGCTCTCAGACCGACTGCTGAGCACGTTTTCTTTCTAACATCAAATATAAAATTGTGTTTCTTGTTTTTCCTCAATTTGATGCTCAAATGAATCAAAAGCACCAAACGACCAGATTAGTGCATGACTGTGACCCGCAGTCCAACGCCAGGTCATTGATCTGAGATCAATAAGGCACGATGCGGATACTCACGGATGTCTCTGAAGTGAATGATCAGCCGGGCCACCAGAGATAAATACTCCTCCTGAGGAAAAACCAGACACATGGTGCAGAAGTTACACTCGCTGAACGACGTTCGAGGACGTTTCAGGAGCACGGCGACATTCACGGCTTCATTTAAATACTTCAGTGTCTGCGTCAAACCTGCTTCTGTTATTCTGCATTTTATCGTGATATAAAAATGCAGCTCTCTAGCTTCAAACAACCTGTAAAACCAGTAGAGGTGGGAATCACCATACATCCCACGATACGATATTATTGCAATTTTTAAAAATATTTTGCGATATTCAGATTCTGTACATAAAGATAAACTTTATCAATCACCATTTTCTCTAATATCAAAGTCTCACACTCAGTCTTTCTCTCATTTCAGTTTGATTGTTGACAAACTGAACGGTTTGTATTACAGTCTAGTCCAACTTAACTGAATCAACCATCTGGTACAATTATAGCTATTCTGAACTATGCAGTTTATGAAAACTATGCAGCCCCTTCAGCAACTGAAGAATTTGAAAGTAAATTAAAACAAAATATAATTTTACATTAAATAAAAAAGTTTTAAACTTAATTAAAATAAAACATGTCTTAAATTAAAATAAGTAAACTGTCATGTTTATTAAACACATTTGGACAGTGAAGGAATGTCAGGATTCTTGCTCAGAAAAAGGATCAACATGCTCTGAAGTCAGAGCAAATATCGATTTCTGCTGTCCCTGTATCCATACATTATTAGCAAACAAAATATCACCATGCTACACAGTATCGATTTTTTTCCCCCACCCCTAAAAACCAGTGATCTGCTTCCACAAATAACTGATCAAATAACTCATAAACGGTCCCAGTTTGTAGTTTAATAACAGTCTGCTGGTGCGATCTGGCTCTCCTGTGTTTGTTTTGTCCCCAGCAGGTGGCGCTAACACTGATTAACAACAACTTTCACTTCTTTTGTAAGCCAATCATTTTCAGAAAGCAGCGTCAGCAGTAACTAATCCAGGCGCGGCGGCGGTGGGCGGGACTCACCCTGGATTTGGCTTTGACGTAGACGTGGTTCTCCATGTCCGTGCCCGACTTGTGCGTGGTGTTCGAGGTTCCTGCCTTCCTTATGGCCTCTTCGCTGCAGGAATCACACTCATCGTCACAAACACACCTTGATATCTTCATCGGTCTCTGCCTTCACCCCCACCTCCCCAGTTACACTCATTCATTCGCTGTGAGCATCACATACATAATTTAAAACCACGACGCTGCACATGAACCGGACCTCTGGGAAGACACCACAGAAACGACTCGAAGCAGCGAACACGTTAAGTTAACACGGCTCAAATCTAATGTTTTCTGCAACGCTGAACCATTTTAACCTCCGGGAATCCTGGAACACCACAGTCTGCATGTGGATGAGGATCATGACGGATAAAGGCTGTACGGGACCGTCAGGATCGCTGAGCCGGGGGAACGTAGCTGAACGGGAAAGGTGTTTTACAGTAAGTTATTAACGTATTAAAATGTGTTTATTTTGTTACAGCTGTGAGGTCAGGTTTTATATCTTGTTTATTTAAATATAAGCACTTGTTATCCAAATAGCGATCTTCTTCTACAACAGTTATAAACTAGTCACACGTGTCAGCTGTTTGCTGTAATCTTTGTATATTACAGGATACTAATACGTAATAATGAAAAAAAAATCTAAATCTTGATGAAAAATAACGACGTAGCTTCTATAAATGACCTGTTTGCTGCTGCTGCTGCTGTGGGACAGAGTGGAGGTTCCCGTGCTCGCATAATTTGGTGCGACGTTAGCGAGGTGCTTTCAGACCTCGCTAACTTTTTGATTATTGGCAGAAAGGACATGTCACGTCTTGGATCTCTCCCACCGTCAACAATAATGTTCCCTGTTCTGCATAAAGGAAAAACGGCACAGGTGGGAAACAGCAGTGGACCTAAAGCGGAGCCTTGTGGTACACCGCGAGGAGCTGTTGTTTACATCGACATACAGATTTCTTTCCACTAGAAATGACACGAACGACCTCACAGACTCCACAACACTGCGTTTGGATGAAGACTATGATGTGATCTTACTTACAGAGCTGCTCTGCTGAGCTCTATTGCTTCTGTGTTTACTTGGACATCAATGCACTGTATCAGAAGCCTTTGGAGGACAGTTCAAACAGCGCGCCCACTTTAAACCTAATCTGAACCCAGGATCAACAGAGTATCCTGACTCAAACTGATCATAACACCTCTTTCAGATTATTTAGATTCAGGTTTGCCTTTTTTCAGCGTCCCTTATGGGAGTGAATGGAAACTTGTGACAGTGGATTTGAACCCATTCAGGCTGATGAGCAGCATTTCTCTCTATAAAGATGGGGACAGTTTAATCTTTATTTAAAGGACCTCACTGCTGTAATCCGCTGCTTTCAGGAATTAATCCGCACATGTTCACGACCCCCTGAGGAAATCCTCCGGTTTCGAACCGGCGACCTTTCCCGTGTTAAACCAAAGCAGCACTGAGCTGCCGTTCTTTTTAAAAAAACATATAAACCGTTTACTTTCCTGACTGTGCACGAGCAGAAGAGCGGGAGCGTCACGTGATCTCACGCTGACTGTAGCCGCTTATTCACGCTACGCAGCCTGACTTTCAGTCACGCAGGTGAACGTTCTCACAGCGCAGATAACTGTAACTCATTAGCTTCAGCAGCTAATGGTGCTAACAATGAAAGTTGACAGAAATTATCTGTTAGCGTCATTTTGTCCATTTTCTCTTCGCCGAATAGAAGCCATCACCCGGACCTTCCGTCCTCCGTGTCCCGTCGTGTCATCAGATCCGAGCTCGCTTTGCTTTTTTACCGGTTTTTCTTAATTTAACGTTTTTTAAACGCCTGCTCAGACATGACGCATTTTCTAACAGCGCCGCCTTTAGCTTAGCCTGAGCGGCTAACACAAACCAAAACAGTGACATTAAACAGAAAAACAGAGACTTTCTCACATCTGAGCCACGACTTTCTGTCGGAACTGTGGGCTCCTCCAGTCGCTGTCCGCTCCCGACATTTCCATGGCGCAGAGGAGGTTTTTCAGGAGAACTGTGGCAGAATTCCTGGATGCTTCCCCTCTGTTCTTCCTCCTTCTACTACGGGATAATGGCGGCTTGAGTCAATACGCGCTGCCGCCGCCTGCTGGACGGAATAGTTACTGCACCGAGGAAAACTGGGGCGGCCACGAGGACACAAAGGGCCCAACGAGACCCCCCAAACTCCCACTGAGGAGCCTGAACCCCAGACTGCAGAGGGACTGCTGTGATGTTTTGATCATTTTTCACGTTCATTTGCTTGTCTGAGATGTTTACCTCTTTACAGGTGCTGATTGACACCTGACTCACCGTATTGCTCCCATCATCATTGTTGTTATTCATGGAAAACAAAAATCTAAATAAATGAAACAAAATCTGTGAATGCTGCAGCAAACAAAAGACAAACACTGAGGCTTCAGAATAATTAGTCAAAAACTGACAGCACGCTGACTGCTTTTTATATACAGTCTGATTTTATGATTCTGCCTCATTGTTGCTCTGCATCAGCCACTCAGTGTCCTGAACACCTCAGTGACACCTGATGACACCAGAGTGGACCGACAGGATGTGAGCAGACTGTTCTGGATCCACAAGCTCGCCCAGGAGGCGTCCTGCTCAGATGCTGGATGATTGATTTCAATACATCTGAAGAGCTGTTGATGCTGAAGCCAAATCCCTCCTGAAGCTTCTGCTTGATTTAAAATTATTGAAAAAATAAATAAATCTAAACAGTGAGCAGAAACATGTTTTAGGTTCTTTAATTCGTCTGCGTGGATGACGACGTTCTCCACATAGAAACAGAACCAAATCAATGCAGTCATCATCATCATCATCATCACTGTAAAATAACAGCCCTGCGGTCACAAGGTATGTCCCGATTCATAGGCCAATTACGTCACAGCCAGGTGACAAAGGCTGTCCCGATTCGAAGACTCCTCCAAATGTGTCCTCCTTTTCCCTGAATTTGAAGGATGGGTCTGGTGTGTCCTTGGTGGCCCAGCCAAACTCCAGTTTCCAACAATGGCGGCAGCCTTTAGCGTTAATATTACTCTTATTAATCTTTCTGGGTCACAAAATAAACTTTTAACATATTTTCAGGCGAGAATGTAGCTGTGTAAACCTCAAATATCTGCTCAGTTTATCAAGATATCACATATTTGCAAAAGTGCTCCAACGTTTTCGGAGACGTCCAGACCACCAGCAAAATCGCTGACAGGGAGGTCGAGGGTCACTCGAGCCGCTGAGACTCCCGGCACATCGCTTTCAAAACCCCCCGCGGTCTTTGGCTACTCACGTTAAACGTGATATATAAGTCACTTAAACAACCTAAAAATGTTATTGTTTGTGTTTTCAGTGTTTTATTTGTTCGTGAGTAAATCGGTTCGTCTGAGATCAAAGTTCTAGTTTTCACACAGCTGAATAAACGTCAAACAGAAAACTGATTAAACAGAAGTGTGAGCCTATGAATTGGGACATAGCTACAGTGAGCAGTGTGGGCTGCTCGGGTCAAAGGTCACAGCAGTCAGCCCAACTCCAGCTCTGCAGGATTTATTTGAGAGAAGAAGACAAAGAGGAAGACCCAGAGAACAGGAGACGTCTCTAAACTTTATTGAAACATCGTTGGACATTAACGGTTGGAGCTGAAGCTACCGTCACAGCCGAAGGCCTCCTCTTCCTCCTCCGATGAAGGTGAACGAAGATCAGAGCGGTGTCGTTTCTGATGCAAGCACCAAAACCCCGACTTCCTCCCACTGAATCCGAGCCCCACCATCAGAGGAAACATCAGGAACGATTCATGTTCCTGTTAAATTCAACCGGTTTTCTCCTGACGATCCTGCTAACGGGCTGAACGGCAGGCGTTTCTAACGGCAACTCGCTTCTGTCCTCACCCATCAGTCAAACAACTCCCCGAGTTTAACGAGAGGAGGAACGCTAACGTCCGACCACGAGCTCCCAGAACACGGAGCGCAAACAAACAGAAACATGACAGCCTGGTGTTTTCATCAAGTTTTAGTTCGAGCTTCCTGCGTGCAGAAAACAAAGAGACGAGGCGGCACGCACCCCCAACAACAACAACAACGATAATAAACCCAAAGAAACAGACGTGAGAACAGAGGAAACCAAACCCACACGCCGCTCTCCATCCATCGATTCGCTCGAGGTCCCTGCCGAAGCTCCTCTATGCTATTAGAATATGTTTCTACTCTGCAGCTTCTATTTACACGTACGCACGAACCGCCTCCACCTGCCCACTCCCCATCGCAACAGGAAGTGACACGTGTACGCTCAGGAGGGCAGACAGCCGCACGTTAAAGGGACGCGGCGCCGTTACAGGACTCGAGGCCTTCATAAAGGATGAAGTTCAGCTTAATTCAACTTAAACTATCTGACGTTTAATCTGCTAATTATTCTCTTCATTTATCACAAAATACATAACTCTTCTTTTAATGCTGGACCCTAAACCCCGCCCCCGTCACAGGCCTGCAGTTTGAATCTTTACGATAAGGGAAAATTATTTTCCTGAAGTTGCTCAAAAACACTCAGAAATGTCAAAACAATCTTTTTAAACAGAAAGAAGTCGCTAAACACGAGTCTCACACGCCTGTGTCGCGCACGCCTGTGTCGCGCACGCCTGTGTCGCGCACGCCTGTGTCGCACGTGTGAGACGGTTCTGATGAAACAACACAGCAAAATATTCCGGATTCTAAACATTCAGGAATGTTTGAGAGCGTTTAGCTGCAGCGATGCTGTCAGAAGTTCTCGCTCTGGATTTGATTCGAGTTGTTTTCGTTTCCTCCAGGTTTGACGTCTCGTTTCATCTTTAAAGTTTGAGCTGCAGTTTCACTGAACGCTGAAACAAACGTCTCGCTAAACTACGGCCGTCCGAACACGGAGGAAGCGATTTTTGCTCTACCTGCACCTCTGACGCCCACATGAGTTACCGCACCTTTATAAAGTGTTATTAACCGTTTATTACATGTTTATCTGCTGATTACAGGTTTAAAGTTAGAGGAATGAGCACTGAAGCCAAAACGAGCCGAGCAGTCTTCAAACTGTAGCTGCGACGGATGGATGACGACGCGTCCTCCTGCAGGAGGAGCGCCTGACGCAGGAAACCGTTTCCAAGATTCAACAGAAAACAAATAAAAACACAGACGGCGCCGAGGTCGACTCCTCGTGAACTCGTCATCAGTCCCGTTTTGCTCAAAGATACAGCATCGAACCGCCGACCCGCCCGACTGCTACACGGGCTAAACAAAAAAAAGAAAAAAGAAGAAGGGGGAGAAAGTCTGAATCCACCAGTGATGCTGTGGGCGGAGCCTGTCTCCATCCCGCCCTCCCTCCTTTACCATGGTGGATGTTTTTGGACCGCAGCTCCTCACCGACCCGCCCACCCCGCTCCTGCGGACAGAGAGACACATGGACCATCAAAGAACAGCGAGTCGAGTTTATGAGAAACAAAAATCATGTTTGTTTGTTTTTGTTTAACCCTTTAAGACCGACCATAGAACCAAGTCTGCCAGAGCTTATATTATATGTTTACATGCTGTGGAGCCATTTTTGGGAGCATTTCAAGTTGATATACATCAATACAACCATTACAGCC